CAGATTTTTAACAGCTGTTTGGTTAATTTGCCCATTAATGCCTCTGTTCCCCCAAGCTAAATGGTCTTCTCTGAACTTCTCCTTATCTAACCAAATCCTTCCTCAAAACTAGAGGTCAGCCTTTCCCTTGGTAGAATTTCCCAAGCTATACAGCTTTCCTTTCCATGGACATAGTGGTCAAGGGCAAGACCTTTGAGGTTATCAGGCTAATTGGCTATAACATAGCCTCTGCTATGATTGAATGCTTATATCCCCTCAAAAATTAATGCTGAAACCCTAATCCGCAACATGACAGTATCTGGAAATGAGGCTTTTGGCAGGCAGTCTTGAAGGTGGAGACCTCATTGTGGCATTACTACCTGATAAGAAGAGTCACAAAGTGCTTGCTTCCATTCCCTCCCCTGCCCCCAGTCAGGTGAGGACAGCAAGAAGGCACTGGCTGTCTATCTGCCACAAGTGGGCCCTCACCAATACCCTTTCATGCTGACACCCTGATCTTGGACGTCCAGCCTCTAGAACTGCGAGAAGTAAATGCCTGTTGTTTAAGCTAATCAATCCATGGTATTCTGTTACAGCAGCCCAAGCTGACTAAGACAACCTTATTAAGTCTCATTTCTTCCCTGCTAAAACGATGATAACAAATAAGCCTACAGGCCTGCAGGGGCCTGGCAAGGCAGCTGGGCAGGTGGCCCCTCTAAAAAAACAAACAAACAAACAAATCTAGTTTATAGGGTTGTAGATGAGAATAAAATGAAATAATGAATGTAAAGCACTTAGCACAGTGCTGGCACATTATGACCCCTAAATATAAGGTAGTATTTATGTCACTCACTTAACCTTGTATTAATATTCTCTTTTATGATCCCTCAGGTTATTGATATTATAAAAACCGTCTTAACTTTCATTTTCATCCCTTATATCCTTAAATCTCAGTAAGTGTTCACTATATGATCTTAAGTACAGAAAGAAACCTGTTAAACCAGCCGCTTTCAAAGTTTTTAGCCATAACCCATAGTAATAAATATATCATAACCCAGTACACACATACACATATATGTAACTGAGCCAAAGGACATGAACTTTCAACCTCACCACTTCCAAATGCATTCTAATGACTCTAATCTTGTTCACTCAAAACAAAACAAAAAATGGTCAGTATCTTCCAAATTGATTTCACAACCCTTTTCTTGTGACCCACAATTTGAAAAACTATGTAATACACATAGTTTTTACTTTGGGGTCCGCAAGATTGAGGTACCCTCAAAAACACAAAGTGAAAAGGTCTTAAGATAATTCTGCCTACTAAATTAGGAGGATTGTTTTTTAAAAATCACCTTTCTAAATCATTACTGAACTTGTTAAATAATATTCCACTTGCCATACACAGAATGAAAATGTCCATTTGTTTTATGTTTACAAAAATGGACACAATTTGATGCTTGCAAGTGACCTACCCATCCATCCCAACTAAACTCTTCATAAATCTGCCCCAAAATTACTAACTTCATTCAAAAACCACCTGAGTAGAGAAATAAAAGAATTTCTGCCTGAAAATACATACACTCACATGGTAAGTTTGCACTCATAAAATTTCCTGCTCTAAAAACTTATACTTCAACATTGGCTTAAAAAAGAAAATCAGCGGCAGGGTTTGCAAAAATTAATTAATTTAATTTAAAAAGTGCCAAAAAATGAAACACGCACATGTAACAGTCCAAAGATTACAAACACATTCCACTTAGACTGTCTACCATTAGAAGATTTAAAGCGTTTTTAAAAATTCTTTTTAGTGTTCTGTTGTTGTTGTTGTTGAGACAGGGTCTGGCTGTGTTGCCCAGGCTGGAGTGCAGTGGCATAATCTTGGCTCACTGCAACCTCTGCCTCCCAGGTTCAAGCCAGTCTCCCACCTTAGCCTCCCGAATAACTGGAACTACCGGCATATGTGTCACCATGCCCAGCTACTATTTGTATTTTTTGTAGAGACAGGGTTTCACTATGTTGCCCAGGCTGGTCTTGAACTCCTGAGTTCATGTTATCTACCCACCTCAGCATCCCAAAGTGCTAGGATTCACAGGCATGAGGAGTCTCATCCAGTCTCATTTTTAATAATTCTTAAGCAGTCTTCAACTTGTTTGCATTATAATACTATTCCCATACCCACTTCATAGCTGCAGTGGTGTTAGGTTTTTATTTTTTTTTTGAAAAGGATAAAAAGTATTATATTTTTAATCTAAAAAATTTAGGATCTGCATATCACCAAAAAAGCCAAATTGGCATAATACAATGATGACCGCTACTAAAATTTTATGATTTATCTATCAAAAAATTATACTAGCCAGGTGCAGTGGCTTGTCCCTGTAATCCCAGCACCTGGGGAGGCTGAGAAGGTGAATCACTTGAGATCAGGAGTTCAAGAGCCATCTGCCTAACAAGGAGAAAATCCATCTCCACTAAAACCATAAAAATTAGCGGGGCATGGTGGTAGAGTCCTGCCTGTAATCCCAGCTGCTTGGGAGGCTGATGCAGGAGAATCACTTGAACCCAGGAGGCAGAGGTTGCAGTGAGCCAAGATCACGCCACTGTACTCCAGCCTAGGCAACAGAGCGAAACTGTCTCAAAAAAAAAAAAAAAAAAAAAAAAAAAGCTCACTGTAGAGAATGGAACATAAGCAGGGTGCAGTGGTGCGTGCCCGTAGTCCCAGTTACTCGAGAGGCTGAGGTGAGAGGATTGCTTGAGTCCAGGAGTTCTGGGCTGTAGTGCAATATGCCAACGGGGTGTCCGCACTAAGTTTGGCATCAATATGGTGACCTCCCAGGAGTGGGAGACCACCAGGTTGCCTAAGGAGGGGTGAACCGACCCAAGTCAGAAACAGAGCAGGTCAAAACTCCCATGCTGATCAGTAGTGGGATCGTGCCTGTTAATAGCCACTGCACGCCAGCCTGGGCAATATAGCAAGATCCCATCTCTTAAAAAAAAAAAAAAAAAGAGAGAGAGAGAATGGCATATAAGTATACAAAAAATACAAAAGCATGAACAAGGGATCAAGAGAGTATACTTAAAGAGAAGAAAAGTTAAGTATAAACCAAATATGGAAGCAGCCAACCTCAAGGTTCCAAATGGGAATATTTGTAGTATGTGCTCTTTTAACATTCAAGTAGGGGTCTCAATAAATGTAGGGGTTTTTTGTTGCTGTTGTTTGCTTACTGTTGCTTTTATTACCATGCTCTCAGTTTGGTGTTCATACAGAATGAGGTTTTGATCTAATTTTCTACAAAGGTTAGTGAGAAACACATATTTGAATTTTTGTATTTAAAAAGAAGTGAAGAGGGGCTAGGTGCACTGGCTTATGTTTGTAATCCCAGCAATTTGGGAGGGTGACGTGGGAAGATTACTTGAGCCCAGGAGTTTGAAACCAGCCCTGGCAACATAGTGAGATCCTTTGTCTACAAAAATAAAAGTAAAATAATAAAAACCTAGCTGAATGTGCTGCTACATGCCCAGGGTCCCAGCTACTCTGGAGGCTGGGATGGGAAGATTGCTTGAGCCTGGGAGGTTGAGGGTGCAATAAGCTGTGACGGTGCCACTGCACTCCAACCTGGGTGACAGAGGAAGACACTGTCTCAAAATAAGGGAATGAAGAGGGAGAAGGGGATTTTCTAAAAATAAGTCTCATTTAACAGAAAAAAAGTTAATTCCCAGGTTCCATGATAAGAAAAACAGTTTTGGCCAGGCACGGTGGCTCACGCCTATAATCCCAGCACTTTGAGAGGCCAAGGCTGGCGGATCACGAGGTCAAGAGATCAAGACCATCCTGACCAACATGGTGAAACCCCGTCTCTACTAAAAATACAAAAATTAGCTGGGTGTGGTGGCATACACCTGTAGTCCCAGCTACTCAGGCGGCTGAGGCAGGACAATTGCTTGAACCAAGGAGGTGGAGGTTGCAGTGAGCCGAGATCGTGCCACTGGACTCCAGTCTGGCGCCTGGCGATGGAGCAAGACTCTGTCTCAAAAAAAAAAAAAGAAAAGAAAAACAGTTCTTAGAAGTTATATGCTTAATTACAAGCTTGCCTAAAAAAAACATAAAAATTTGCCTCCATTTCAATTAAGGACATATATTTCAAATACAATTTTATTATGCAGCACTGCAGAAAGAACACCTAGGAAAACCATTCTTAAATGACATTCAGATCTCAGAAGAACATCAAATGATACATTTATTTCTTTTCTAACTGCCTTTCTTAGTGTCTCAAAGTAATGCATTAAAACACACTGGTCAGAATGAGATTTTCTTTTCAAATAATACATTCAGAATTCCTATTTTCTTCAAATTTTTTGATGAAGTTACCACCTAGCCTGGTCTGACCTAAATGAACAAAAATATGCACTAAAAGAAAGCACATATACCATATGCAGTGGCTCACACATGTAATCCCAACACTTTCATGAGGCCAAGGTGGGATCTCTTGAGCCCAAGAGTTCAAGGCCAGCCTGAGCAACACAGCAAGACTCTGTCTCCACAAAACTTTAAAAATTAGCTTGGCGTGGTGGTATATGTCTGTAGTCCAAGCTACTCAGGAGGCTGAGATGGGAGGATCACTCGAGCACAGGAGCTCAAGGCTAAAACAGGGAGTTATGATTGCACTCCCTATGTTTCCAGCCTGGGTGACAGACCAAGACTGTCTCTTAAAAAAAACACACACACACACACAAAGAGCACATTTGGACTTCCAGAGGGCAGAAAATTTTCACTGATACATCCCAAACGCCAAAACCAGTGCCCAGTTCACGCAATGTACTAAAAAAAAAAATGTGTTCAAAGAAGGCTGACATCTGTCTCTAGTACATTGTGTTAACCATGACTGTGCACTAACCTATGAGCCTCTGTTATTTTTTAATGAAGGTAATTTAAAAGAGTACTTGTTACCCCAGAACTCAGTCTAAGTCTTCAAAGGTAAGAGGCAGAAATGAAAGATGTCATAATGGGAAAATGTTCATTAATGAACTATTATAGTAAACCTAAGACAAAACAATACAAATGAAATGGAAACTCAATAGTAAAACCACAAATTTGGCAAAGAAGCAGAACCTCATGAGATTGATCAAAGTGATAACAGATGTTAATATTTTCAGGTTTTGGCCGGGCGCGGTGGCTCAAGCCTGTAATCCCAGCACTTTGGGAGGCCGAGGCGGGTGGATCACTAGGTCAAGAGATCGAGACCATCCTGGTCAACATGGTGAAACCCCGTGTCTACTAAAAATACAAAAAATTAGCTGGGCATGGTGGTGCGTGCCTGTAATCCCAGCTACTCAGGAGGCTGAGGCAGGAGAATTGCCTGAACCCAGGAGGCGGAGGTTGCGGTGAGCCGAGATCGCGCCATTGCACTCCAGGCCTGGGTAACATGAGTGAAACTCCGTCTCAAAAAAAAAAAAAAAAAAAAAAAAAAAAATATTTTCAGGTTTTATAATAGTATTGGTATTACTTTTTTAAAAAAATTCCTTTTCCTTTAAAGATACATAATGGAAACATTTATGAATAAAGTAATATGCTTCGAAAACAAAGGAGAAAGGGGATGATAAAAAGAATATAACTTGCCATGAGTTAACTGATGATGGGTGACAAGGTTAATTATATGATTATCTTCTTTTGTATATTTTTGGTGTTATTCATAATAAAAAATGTTTAATGAATAGAGGGTTTAAACACTAAAATCTTCAAATCAGAAACACACATATGCTCATTGGCCAGTGATGTTCAGGAAGAAATAGACAATAAATTAGTGAAAAGAAAACTGACAAGCTGTTTCCAAGAAATTATTGAGAAGTTTCTGGAAAATGGTAAGGAACTCAAATATTTTTGTAAAAAAGTATTTGTATGACAGTGTCATGAAAAGTTAAATGTATGCATGTGTAGGGACACAGGGTATATGGGAACTCTACACTTTCCATTCAACTTTGCTGTGAACCTAAAAACTGCTCTCAACAATAAAATTTATTATTTTTGAAAAAATCATTATGAAATATGTCTTCTTGTGCTATTATACAACTTTGTCAAAAAAAATTCATGTTGTCCAAAATCACTTACTTTTTTTCTCCCTATGGAAAATCAGCTTTCTCACTACAAAGAAATCTTGGTTCCCATTTCGAATGATCACTTATTAACTAAGACAAACCTCTGCTATCCACTCTCTGTAACTGGTTCTCACTGGTAAGTTTGGTAATGTGTCAAGATTTCAAGATTCTTTTACAAATAAAACCACTTGCATTTACAGTGTACTTCAATTTCAATACTGTAATCATTAGATACTCTTAAGTGCCTCATAATAGACAATGCAGATTCCGCAGTTACCATTTCCTTTCTTTCCCAACACAGGGATGATATGAATGTGGGTGCTCCAGTGGCCACTTGTTACTTTCCACAAGAGGAGGTCTGTGTATTTGATAACTAATACCTTGACTACACTTAAGTTTCTGGTGGTTATTTAATCTAATTAAATACGGCATGTGGTATCTACTGGGATAATTGATCCAGGAAGGCTATATAATATTCGTAATAATAAGCAATTGTACTTTTACTTCTAAAGGGTGCCACAGTTTAATTGGCAAATAAAATGACTTCACAGTATAATACAGGCACTTAATCATAAAACAATACAGAACATGTCACTGTAGCAAACAGGGGATCTAAATTTGCTTCATATTACACCAAACCCACATACTTTACTAAAATCAAAATGCTGTTTAAAACACACACGCGCGCGCGCACACACGAATCATAGATGGGATAAGTTGTAGCAAATAACCCATTCACTTACTCTGCCTCCTTTTCCCTCCCTTTCATCTAGACCAGTTGAAAAGGAACACAGAGCTAGAAAGCCCAAGTGATTTTTTTCTTTTTTTAAGACAAGAGTCTCCCTCTATCGCCCAGGCTGGAGTTCAGTGGCGCGATCTCCGCTCACTGTAGCCTCTACCTCCCAGGTTCAAGCGATCTTCTGCCTCAGCCTCCCTAGTAGTTGGGATTACAGGTAAGTGCTTATTTTTGTATTTTTAGTAGAGACTGGGTTTCACCACGTTGGCCAGGGAACTCCTGGCCTCAAATAATCCCAGCCTTCCAAAGGGCAGGATTACAGGCATTGAGCCACCATACCCAGAGCACCCAAGTGATTTTTCAAATAGTATGTTTTGGAGCCCAGAGGAAGGTTCAGGAGTTCTACTATCAAAGAAGAATTTTTTTTTTTAACCAATAGGGTTTTAATTTGCCTGAGAATCCAATTTCATGTTTAATTTTTTTTTTTTTTTTTTTAGATGGGAGTCTTGCTCTGTCACCCAGGCTGGAGTGCAGTGGCATGATCTTGGCTCACTGCAACCTCCACCTCCCAGGCTCAAGCAATCCTCCTGCCTCAGCCTCCTGAATAGCTGGGATTATGGTGCATACCACCATGCCAGGCTAATTTTTGTATTTTTAGTAGAGACAGCTTCTCACCATGTTGGTCAGGCTAGCATCGAACTCCTACTAACCTCATGATCTGCCCCCCTAGGCTTCCCAAAGTGCTGGGATTACAGGCATGACAAAATCAAGTTTTGTTTTGTTTTGTTTTGAGACGGAGTTTCGCTCTTGTTACCTAGGCTGGAGTGCAATGGCGCAATCTCGGCTCACCGCAACCTCCACCTCCTGGGGGTTCAGGCAATTCTTCTGCCTCAGTCTCCTGAGTAGCTGGGATTACAGGCACGCGCTACCATGCCCAGCTAATTTTTTGTATTTTTAATAGAGACGGGGTTTCACCATGTTGACCGGGATGGTCTCGATCTCCTGACCTCGTGACCCGCCCGCCTCGGCCTCCCAAAGTGCTGGAATTATAGGCGTGCACTTCGAGGCGGGCGGGTCACGAGGTCAGGAGACACGCCTATAATCCCAGCACTTTGGGAGGCCGAGGCGGGCGGGTCACGAGGTCAGGAGATCGAGACCATCCCGGTCAACATGGTGAAACCCCAGCTTTTAAAAAAAAATTAAAAATTAAAATTTAAAAAAAAATACCTTTTTTCAACTCCCTTCATTCTCATATTTCACTTACAGTGTCCATGAGCTGTCTGCCACTGTCCAAAGACCATTAATTTGTTCCTACTTTCTCTGTTTCCTCAACTTCTCTGATTTATTTCCCGCTTTATTAAAAATTTGCTTTGTGACTTATTACATCACACAACCGCTCTTGATCAGACAGTTCTAGTACTTTAAATTGTCTGTACTGGAGAGCCTATATCACATGGCCAAGTATTTAGATCTATAGAAATAACCTTCAGAGATGCTAAAAAGATCTGAAAGTCTCAAAATGGATTTAAACTATTAAAAATGAAGAAAAAAGTCAAAAAAGGCTGTGCGTAGTAGCTCACACCTATAATCCCAGCACTTCGGGAGGCCGAAGGGGGCACATCACGTGGGTTCGAGGCCACCCTTTGCCAACATGGTGAAACCCCGTCCCTGCTAAAAATATAAAAATTAGCCTGGTATGGCAGCACACACTTGTATTTCCAGCTACTCAGGAGGCTGAGGCAGGAGAATCATTTGAACCAGGGAGGTAGAGGTTGCAGTGAGCCGAAATTGTGCCACTGCACTCTAGTCTGGGCAACAGAGCAAGACTGTCTCAAAAAAAAAAAAAAAAAAGCCAAAAACAGGGAACAAATGTAAAGCTTGAGAATCTCCCAAACCAGAACTTGGTCCCAGACACACCTCTGATGTCCTGATTAGGGGGTGCACATTTCTGGTCAGGGAGATAGTCCCAGGGCCTCTCAACTGCATTTACACTTTGGTCTTTAGGAATGTACTTGACCTGTGCAACCGTTTCCCAGTACTTTACAAATTCTTCAAACAGTTCTTGTACAAAGATACACACATTGACTGATGTGAAGCTTGAAAGGATTAAAAAAATAAAACTACAGAATATCACAGCAGAAATGGTTCTCAATTATTTAGTCCAGGGGGGGAGCAGTGGCTCACACACGTAATCTCAGCCCTCTGGGAGGCCAAGGCGAGCAAATCACTTGAGGTCAGGAGTTCAAACCTAGTCTGACCAACATGGTGAAACCCTGTCTCTATTAAAAATAAAAAAATTACCAGGCGTGGTGGAACTTGTCTATAATCCCACCTACTTGGGAGGCTGAGGCAGGAGAATCGCTTAAATCTGAGAGGTAGAGGTTGCTGTGAGCCCACTGCACTCCAGCATGGGTGACAGAATGAGACTCCATCTCAAAAAAAAAAAAAAAGAAAAGAATTATTTAGTCCAGTCCCTCATTTCACGCACAAGAATACTGAAACATATGATTAAGTAACTTTCCCACAGTCTCAGAGCTAGTGGGAGAAACTAGATTTTCTTTTCATTACCACTTTCTATTCTCCGAAGTACTAAATATGATCACCACTCAGCTTTCGTCACACGTTTTGGCATTATTCAGATGTTCACTTATGCAACACAGAAGACTTAAAAAACAACAAGCACAACTATAAACAGGTCACCTTAACATGACTTAGGGGAAAAAAAAACACACACACACACCCAAGATCACAACATGTCCCATCACGTTCAAAATGTCTCATAGCGCAATCCCACCAATCAGTTTCCAGCATCTAACCACAATTCCAAAATAAAATTCCACCCACCAGCATTTCTTGCTGGTTATTTAGATATAAACTTAATACCATGGGTTCATGGGTATTAAGCCATCAAGAAGCTATCTGCAATTCAGCCCTAAACACTAAACATTAGCTCCACTGTTATTTTTAGCCATTTCTAGGTAAAAACTTTTTACCTAATAAGCCAAACAATAACAAAGTCGGGTGCTAACTTACCAAACTTGGTAACAATAAACACTTCAGAAAACAATGCTTAATTATGCGTTGGTAGATTCCAGGTTCATAAATCCACACCAGACATGCCTTCGCACCATGGCATATTTATATACTGTACATCTAAAAAAAGGCTGTTTATGTCCCCAGAAATGGTAGGTATTCTCTGGCAAGTCTAATCCAAGTGATTAAAATGGGGAATTACTGTAACAAAGTGACTATTTTTACTGTGCCTGAGTAACACAAAAACCTAGGAGGTTCACTTGAAAAAGCATTTGGACTGTAACTATTTATATTCTTTTTGGACTAACCGTGGCTCTTTTTTCCCTGTTGCATTCCTGCTTCTGCCCCTCACCCCCATTCTCCTAAGAATCCTAACACCAAAAACTTCTTTATACTCTAGTCAACAAGAGAGTTGTTAACCTTGACTTTTATGATCAGTCTTTGAAGAGGGCAAATTACATGTTTTAGTTTTGATTCTTTTAAATTAAAAAGGTAATTACTCTCACCCACCCCTCAAGTGGAAATGAGAAATTTGTCGGAGGCCCTCTAATAACTGGCAAATAAGAATCATCCAGTGAAGAAATATAGACAAGACTATTATAAAACCCTGAGTCATCACTCAGTTCACTCAGCAGATTTGGGTAAACA